CTATGAGTCGCAGGGGACTTGACGGCACATAACAACAAGAACAACATGCTTATATGTAACCTTTGTTCAGTTTGACCTGATGATCAACTGATGTAGGGCTCTGCAACTCTCCTCCCTGTCTGTAGTTTTATTGGTCTTGTATGATCTCTATTTCAGGTTTGATAGACTGAGAGAATTTTGCATTATCAATGTTTTATTCATGGAAAATACCTTTTATAAAAAAATACAAATAGCAACTATACACATGGAGCACACATGAATCAGATTTATTGCATCTGTGGAAAAAGTCTTTGGAGAAGCTGTGAAAAGTAGGCCAAGTTCCAAATAAGGAAAAGAACATTAGCTAAACATGTGCAAGTTCAAATTGAAGCAAAAAAAAAATTTAAAAAAATCCACAAGAACTAAACTATGACCTTGAGTCTATCCCAGCTGAGTGAACAAAGACCAGATTAGCTGTGAGATGATATCAAGAATACCATCCATGAAGCAAAATCATTCCAAGTCATTCTAAAGACAGAGGAGGAAGAAAAGCTCGAGATAGATGTCAGTAGAGACTTTGAATACTGCACTAGGATGCTGAGAAACTGAAAACAAAGTAAAGAAACCAGGAAATTACAGTTGAACATAAGATTCAAAGGGCAGCTTGGGAAGACAAAGCTAAGTAATATAATGAAATGTGCAAAGAGCTTGGGTCAGGAAATCAAAAGGGCTGAACTCGCTCAGCAAACTGAAGAACAAATCCAAGCCTCAAGTTGCAATACTTAAAGATGCTACAGGCAGAATATTGAATGATCCAGAAAGCATCAACAGAAGATGGAAGTAATATATAGTCACTTATTTTTCTTAAAAAGGCCTATACAGAATATGCATAAAGTAGATTGTTGATGAGTCTTCCTGCAATCCTGATGCCACATTTCTCCTGATAGAGCCCAGCCTTCCAAATGATCTGTTCTGCATATAGATTGAAAAAGCATGAAGATAGGACACATCCCTGGCATATACCCTTCCCAATTTTGAAGCATGCAGTGTTTCCTTGCTCTGCTCTGCATCTTGGTCCAAGTATAGGCTTCACATAAACAAAATCAAGTGTTCTGTGATTCTCATTCGGCTCAGAGTCAGCCACAGTTTGTTGTGATCCACACAGTAAAATGCCTTTGCATAGTAAATAAAACAAGACAGAAATTCCTCTGGTACTCCCTGCTTTCTGCCAAGATCCATTTACCATTAGCTATAATATTCCTAGTACCATGACCTCTTCTATATCCAGCCTGTACATCTGGCAGTTGTCCGCTGATGTGCGGTTCCAGTCATTTTTGGATAATCTTCAGTAGAATCTTTCTTGCATGTGATATCAATGATATTGTTCTATAATTTCCACACTCTGTTGGGTCACCTTTCTTTGGAATGGGAATAAATATGGATCTTTTCCAGTCAGTTGGCTAGGGGGTTGTCCTCCAGATTTCTTGGCACAACTTGGTGAACACATCGAGGGCAGTGCCTGTTTGTTGAAATATATCAACTGGTATGCCATCAATTCCTAGGGCCTTGTTTTTTGCCAATCCTTTTAGAGCAGCTTACTGTATTTATAATAAAGAATTTATGATTGTAGTTGGTGAAAATTAAGTTAAAAAGAACTTATTTGTACCTATCATCAAACCTTTATATTTGTAATTAACTAAAAACAATCTTCACAACTAGAGCAATACAAAAAAATACCATGATAATCAGAAAATATTGAAGGTGTCATGTTTTTAATTTTTTAAAATGTTTTAAATTTTGCTTGGATCTAAAAAGCCCATAGAAACAGCAATCAAGAAATCAAACAACAACAACAACAAAAAAGAAATCAAACAACAATATTGCATTGGGCATATCTGCTGTCGAGGACCTCTTTAAAATATTGAAAAGATGTCACTTTGAGATTATCTCATACACATGCTAACACTGGAGAACGAATAAGCATTGAAGAATTTTGACTTTAAAATACAACGTTGGCGAGGAATACTGAATACAACATAGAAAGCCAGAAAAAAAAAACAAATCTGTCTTGGAAGAAATACAGCCAGAATGTTTCTTCGGAGTGAAGAAGATGAGATGTCATATCATGTGCTGTGGAAGGGGCCAGTCACTGAATAAAGGTCTGGGAAGGTACTGGGCCATTGAAAAAGAGAAAGACCCTCAACAAGATGGATTGGCACAGTGGCTGTAACCATGGGATCAAGCATGGCACAACAATGACTCAGGATGATACATAATGATGCAATGTTGTATATATGTACTCTACGAATCAGGACTACACTACCAACCAAACAACAATAATGAAATATCATGTCTGTTACCCAGTCATTAGAATATACTTTAAAGTTGGTGTGAAACCTTCATTAGTAACTAATTAGAGTATATGAAACAAGTTTAGCATAGAGATTCCAGAACATTTTCATAAACCTTTTTGACTACACTTATGTTCACATCATGGTAAGGAGCATAGGTTTGTTTGCTTTTTTTAAAGAACGTTCTGCTTTCCAAGCAGTTTTTCACTATTAAGTTGAGATGTGTTCTAGTATACTTACACGCATTTGCTCACTGTACTTCTGTCCTAGATTTCCAGGATTTTGTCTTTTCTTCACTGAGCGAACTTTTTGTTTACTTCCAACAATGCATTTCCTTCTTGTAACAGTAGAATCTTAATCAAATACCAGCACAATGTAAAAAAAAATGGTATCAGTTGAGTAGATCATATACATATCTCTATCTATCTATCTATCTATCTATCTATCTATCTATCTATCTATCTATCTATCTATCTATCTATCTATCTATCTATCTAATCATCCATCTCTGCTGTAAAGTTCCAAATGATCCTAAAACCTCAGTAAGGAAATGCTGCTCTACTCTTTCATGCACTGTGGTTGGCACATAACAATGGTATGTTAAAAAAACCCCTTTGCTTCTGAGCAGTTTCAAGTCAGACCAGTAACTTCTCCAGTGTGGTGCTGGAGCACAGGGGGATTTACATGAAAACCTACTGTGGTACAGGAAGACTATGTTAGCATTCTAATTTATATTAATTACATAAAAATGAAAATGAAATTATAATTTTTCCTGGAGAAAGTGTAACCAAATTGCTCCTAGGAAGCAAGGATGGTCAAACTCTATTTCACAATTTTTGTGTATGTTCGCAGGAGTACTTGGAGAAGGGCATCATTCATGGAAAGATGGAGCTCCAGCACGAGAAAGGATATTCCTGGATGAGATGGCTTGACACAGTGACTGTGGAAAAGAGGTCACATGGCAGAGATCATGAGGTTGGCTCAGGAGAGGTCAAGGTTTATAGGGTTGCTTTGAGTCATAGTCAACTTGACGGCACATGTGGTTCAGTACACAAGGAAACCAGTTATGCAGTAAACAAAGTTACCTTGAGAGAAGAAGAGATGCCCCACAGTTGAGGGATTGCCAGTGGAATCGCCATTTAGTACTGTTTAGTGCCCCACATGTGCTAAAATTTGTGTGTCCAGTTAAGTGGGTTTATGAATCTCTTGTACTGTCTAAACGAGTCCTCACAGAATGGGAAAGCTGCTTGAAAGACTGTAGGTTTTCAACTGCATATTATTTAAGGTTTTGAGAAGTACAAGAGTACAAGGAACTTATGAGGTTCTTCATGTATTTAAAATATATTCCTTCAAAATTATAGAGCAAAACTAATACTGCAAACATTCATGGAAAAGCAAATGGCATAACTGACACATCTCTTATTGTCATTGTAACCTCTTTGCTTACCAGTTTAAGACTACTCTAAGAAAGCCTAGAAGTGGTGGAAAGGTAGATGGTAGCAGCAGGAGACTATAGTAAGAATAGAATTTGCTGGAGTTGTGTTGCTGCTGGGTTGTTTATGTTAGCAACTGGACATGATTATAGAGAACTAGGTTGTAAAATAATAGAAGAGAGGGGACCATTGATACAGAAGAGTTGCCTGAAGATATGGGAGGGGATAGGTGGTCTCGAACCATGTGCCTTCAGGATTGCAGTGCAGCTTCTTGCCACATTGTACATATACAATATATATTGTACAACTTATATTATACAACTCTATGGATTTTGACAAAAGCACAATATGTTTCAACCATTAGACAGAAGGTTTGACCTGTTCTGCTTCATCCTCTAATCTTTTTTTCGTTATAGTTTTATCTTTACCAGATGGCATATAGTTGGAATCATACAATATGTTTTTCAGACTGGCTTCTGTCACTTTACAAATAAACATCTTAAGTTTTTCCATGTTTATTGGTGCCTCAATAGGTCATTTTAAGCTTTTTATTGTGGTTCCAGTCAAAGTTTACAAATTGGGTTTCCTTCCAACAATTTGTACATTTTACTTTGTGACACTGATTGCAATACCCACATTGTAATAGCGTTTCTCCCATGTAACCCATCTTCATATTTCTTCCCCTTCCCATCCCTTATTGCTTTCTGAGTTTTTCCCTGGCAAATGCTGCTTATTTGATACTATATGGTTGATTGCTCTAAGTAGTACATTCTTGTTATTACTCTATACTGTGTGACTGAAAGTCATCGAAGTGACTTCAATTTTGTGCTTGAAGGAAGACTAAGAGCCACTGTCTTAGAAGTTCTCACAAGTCCCAATCAGGTCTGGTCTTTTCTGTGATTCCTATTTTCATCACATTTTATCTTACTCTACTGAGGACTTTCTATTGTAATTCCTTTTAGAGTGGTTAGCAGTGCAGTTGGGTACCATTTGGTCTTCAACTCAACTCAACTCAACTCAACTCAACTCACCTCAACTCAACTCAACTCAGTGCTGTTGAATTAGAAATGAATTCATAGCTGATCCTCTAGTGGTTTTTGGGAGGCTGTAAATAACACAGGAGGGGTTGCTCATAGTTCTCATTTGGAGCTTCTGATGAATTTGAACTTCCAGAGAGGCGCTGCCTTTGGGTTAATAATGCAACTCCCTAATAGACTATGCCAGTTTTAGAGTTCTGGTAATTAAAGTTCTTCTAGTCCTTTTGGTGAATAATTTACTTTCTTCATTCCTCTTTGCTTTGGATGAAGAGAAATCAACAGTTACATCATGGCTGGCTGCTTCGCAGAGTCTAAGACCTGACTTGCTACTCACTAAAGTAGGATATTGAATATTATCTTTGTAGACTACATTGCATTGACTATGGTCCTGAGTTCTGAGACTCAGCAGTTCATTCCCTTGAAGAGTTCATTTCATGCTATGATTGAATACTCCATTGAATGTATAAAGAGTTTATCCATTTACCTAATCCAAGACATCTTGTTGTTTTGTTCCTGTCGAGTATGAACCAACTTTTAAGTCTGGCAGGTTTTTCAGAGGTTTTGAATTGCACTGGAGATGATTGTCCATCATTCTCCTGAAGAGCAGCTGGTGGATCTGAGCCCTATGCCTTAGGGTTGACAGTGAACCTTCTTACCATTAGGCCACCATCTTAGTTGTCTCCAATTTTTGGTAATTATGAATAAAGCTGCTATAAACACTTGCATGTTAGTTTTTATGTGGACATAAACTTTCATCTTATTTGCTCATGTTTAGCTTTATAAGATATAAAAACAGATAATCTTCCAAAGTAGATGTACCATGTTTCTAATAGCAATGAATAAGACTTTCTGCTGCTCTATGCCCTTCATATGGTCACTGTGGGTTGTACTTTTCTCATCTGCACCTAACACCACCAACCATGTCCTTACCAGCATTTGATGTTGCCAGTGTTTTCATGTCAGTTATCTGAGTATGTATGTGGAGTCTGTGGGTATTACATTTAACACATTTGGCTACCAATCAAATGAATGAGTTTGAGTCTTTCCAGAGATGTCACAGAAGGAAAGCCTAGTGATTTGCTTTGGGGAAATTAGCCACTGAAGATTTTATGGGGGATGGTTTCACTTTTACACACATTCGGGCCACTATGAGTTGAAGTCAATTAACTCAAAGAGTAACTGGCTACTAGAAGGGGAGCATTATCTCATGACTTGGCTGTCTTTTGCTTTTTAAAAGTTTCACCTTTCTGTGTATATACTAGGGAGAACTCTGGTGGTATAGCCATGGGGAATTGTGCTAATCCAAAGGTGGGGTCTCTCTAGAGGTCTGAATCCACTAGCTGCTGCATGACAGAAAGATGAACAATTTCCTTCTGAGGGATTTATAGCTTCTGAAAACCCACCGGAGGGTTGGCTCAGTCAGTTCCAATGCTCCTGATATAGAACAGCCACATTTCAGAAACAGCATCCTGCCCTCCCTTCACCAACCAGGAAGCTCTCTGCACTGTAAAGTTCTAGGTTTTTTACTGACACATCCTTAATTCTAATGGCAAAGAGTTTGAGCTTTATGTAAGAGACCACAAGAAACCAGAATGAATCGATTAGTCTCCCTTACTGGTTGAGTAGCTGTGAGGCAGCTCACTCACTCATTGGTACTGAGTTAGAACTGACATTCCAGTGCTGGAAATGGCACAAGAGGACATTTCCCATCTTTTTCCTGAGGAGCTTCATATGGACTCTGCCACCCTCTGTCTTTGCTTATATGAAAACCCTTTGGAGTAATTGGGGTGTCTTGGTCTGGGATTTTGAGACCACACTAGATTTGTGTTGGTGAGTGGGGGCTGACCAGACTAGAAAGCACACATCTAGTACAATGCCAATTAGCTTCAAGGGTTATGGTTTAGTTTATCACAAAGGACTTGCCAATAAAAGCCCAGAACTTTACAGGTTAGAAGGTTTTCTAGTTGAGTGAGATGCCCTTTGAGCTGTGGCAGCTCTACAGCAAGAACATTCCTCACTTTTGGATCTCTTTCTTATGATTTTAATTTCTATTCTTTTACTATAATAAAACCAGTAGTTACAATAACTCCTTCGAGTTTAGTACATTAACTCATCTAAGAATAGTATTCTTTTACCTAGTGACCTCTGACCTCACTATGAGTAATTAAGGGCTAAGAGAAAACATGACATGTGTGGAGCTGGTGTTAAAAATTATGAAGATGTGGCAAAGTGAAGATACGTTTGATCTCTGCCTTACAATCAGCTTTATGCTGATTTTTATCCATGACATTATGTTCTCAGAAAGTCTGCTCTTGAAGTCTGTTGCTAATGCCAGAGCAGTAATTTTGACTAGACTAGGGGGTAATGCACTTACTGCAGAGGGTCAAGGACTGCAGCCTTCAATATGGACTGAGGATCAATGTCAAGAAGACAAAGATTCTCACCACTGGACCAATTGGTAGCATCAGGATGGATGGCCGAGAGATTGAGATTGTTCACAGCTTCAGTTTGCTCAGCTCCACGGTCAACACTCTTGGCACCAGCAGCCAGGAAATCAAAAAACGTATCGTGATGGGAAAGTCTGCTGTTAGGGACCTCTCTACTCAGGAGCAACGGTGTCTCTTTGGAGACAAAGGTGCGCCTGATACAAGCCATGGTCTTTGCAATCACTTGTTATGCATCAGAGAGCTGGACAATGACTAGGGAGGACAGAAGGAGAATTGATGCCTTTGAGCTGTGGTGCTGGAGAAGAGTTTTGAGTGTACCATAGATTGCCAAGAAAACAAACAGATTCACCCTAGAGAGGGTTAAACCAGGCTATTCCTTGGAGGCAAAGATTCTGGGGCTTCGTCTGACATACTTTGGACATGTTGTAAGGAGAGACAGGTCTTTGGAGAGGGACATCATGCTGGGTAGGGTAGAGGGACAGCGCAGGAGGGGAAGACCCTCTATGAGGTGGATTGATTCAGTGACTGGGGTAATCGGGATGGGTGTGTCAGAGGCAATGCGATTGGCACAGGATAGAGCAGGGTTTAGGGCTGTTGTACATAGGGTCGCTATGAGTCGCAAATGACTCAACGGCACTTAACAACAACAACAACAGGGGGTAATGCAGTCAGGCCTCAGAAAGCCTTGGCCTTAAGACTGGCAAAGACCCTTTATATATATTTGTTGCTGCTGATTGTCTTGTAGTCAAGCATGACCTAGTCACCCTATGAACAAAAGGCCTGAAGCCCTTCTACAACTATGGACATTTATCAAAGTTCATAGAGTTTCCGGAGGCATATTATTTAGGAAGTGGATGCCACTCTTCATTTTTAAATATTAAGTAAACATCTCAAAGGACCATGTAAGTGAACTGCTCTAAATATTTTAAACACCACAGATTAACCTTGTATCCCAGTAGCATCATTAGTTACTCATTTATTCACCAACATTTATTTATTTCCCCCTCTACTCTCATTTCTCAGGTCACTTATTTTCACGTCCTCTGTACTCATCCTCTATTTCCTCTTCTTTAGCTTTAGATGTTGGTGTGTATGTTTGAATAGCAGTTGTATTAACAGGTCTTCCTTGTATGTATACACATAGTATATTTTCACAACACTACTTCAGGCTGGATCTTGAATTTGTCTTTTTAACTATGAACACAACATCATTTCTTCCACAATTTTTAATTTCTGGTACAGTAGTCATGTTTGTCTGCTTTACAGTGGCCAAGATCAGTGCATCTCAGCTCACTAATGTTTGTTTTGTTGTGTACCACAGAGTTTGAATAGACCCATAACTGACCCTCCAGTGGGTTTTCAGAGGCAGTTAATTGTACAGGAAGAGACTGCCTATCCTTTCTATGGAGCAGCTGAGGGTCTCAAACTGCATGCCTTTGGGATTAGGGAGCAGCTTTTCGCCACTAGGCCACCAAGACTCACTGTTGTTGTATAATGCCTTTGTTGTTGTTGTTATGTGCCATCGAGTCGCTTGCGACTCATAGCGACCCTATGTATGAGAGCCCTAAACGCTATTCTATCCTGTGCCAACCTAGCCATCTTAAACGCATTCATTCCCACCACTTCAGTCACAGAATCGATCCATCTCATCAAAGGTCTTCCTCTCCTTTGCTGCCCCTCTACCTGCCAAACATGATGTCCCTCTCCAAGGACCAGTCCCTCCTTGCAACATGCCCAAAGTATGTCAAATAAAGCTTCAGAATCCTTGACTCCAAGGAGCATTCCAGCTTCACCTTCGTCAGGACAACCTGTTTGTTCTCCTAGCAGTCCATGGTATATTCAACACTCTTCTCCAGCACCACAGCTCAAAGACATCAATTCTCTTTCTATCATCCCTATTCACTGTCCAACTCTCTGATGCATGGCACATAATTGCGAAGACTATAGCCCAGATCAGGTGCACCTTAGTCTCCAGCCTGTTGTCGTTGCTCTTCAGTACTCTTAAGAGGTCCCTCACAGCTGACTTTCCCAATGCAATTCATATCTTGATTTCCTGGCTGCTGTTACCAAGAGTGTTAACTGTGGAGCCAAGCAAACAAAAACTGTTAACTATCTCAACCTCTATCATCCATACTGATGCTGCCAATTGGCCCAGTGGTGAGAATCTTTGTTTTCTTGATGTTGAGCTTCAATCCATACAGGAAGCTGCAGTCCTTGACTTTCCGCAGCAAGCACTTCAGGTCCTCCACAGTTTCAGCAAGCAGGGTTGTGTCATCTGCATAACACAGTTTGTGGATAACTCTTCCACCAATCCTGATGCCACATTCCTCCTCATACATACAGCCCAGCGTCTCGGATGATCTGTTCTGCATACAGATTGAAAAGGTATGGAGACAGAATCCATCCCTGATGGACCCCTTTCTTGATTTTGAACCATCCAGAGTCTCCCTGCTCTGTTCTGATGACTGCCTCTTGGTCCAAGTATAGGTTTCGCATTAGTATGATCAAATGTTCTGGGATTCCCATTTTTCTCAGAGTCAGCCATAACTTTGACTGTGATCCACACAGTCAAAAGCCTTTGCATAGTCAGTGAAGCACAGGTAGACATTCCTCTGGTATTCTTTGCTTTCTGCCAACATCCATGCAACATAAGTATAATATCCCTAGTACCACAGCCTCTTCTAAATCCAGCCGGCACATCTGCAGCTCTCTGTTGACATATTGTTCCAAAGGTTTTTGGATAATCTTCAGCAAAATCTTGCTTGCATGTAATATTAATAATATTGTTCGATAATTTCCACACTCTGCTGGGGCACCTTTCTTTTTTATGCATTCTATTTCATTTCTGACATCCTCCAATTTTCCTAGATTCAGTACTTTTGCATTATGCAGATGATACAACTTTGCTGCTTAAATAAAAGGGGACCTCGCTGCAGAAGATTAAAAAGACTATGGCCTTCAATATGGATTACATCATGCAGACAAAAATCCCCACTTCTGGGCCAGTAGGCAACATCATGATAGATGGAGAAAAGATTAAAGTTGTCAGTCCTTTCGGCTTGCTTAAATCTGCAATCAATACCCTTGGTACCAGTAGACAAGAAATCAAAACATATTACATATGGAACATCTGCTATCAAGGACCTCTCCATGGTGTAAAGAAACAATTATGTTAAATACAAGTTGTGGCTGATTCAAGTCATGGCTTTTTCAATTACTTGTTATACATAAGAAAGTTGGACAATTATTAAGCATGACAGAAGAATAATCAATGCCTTTGAGTTGAGATGCTGGAGAAGAGTGCTGGATATCCTATGGAAAGCCAAAAGAACAAACATATCCTGTAGAAGGAGCCGTCAATGTGCTTCTCGGAGGTAAAGACGGTGAATCTTTGTCTCATATATTTTGGGCATGTTGGTGAGAGGGGTTGATCCTTGGAAAATGCTATCATGCTTGGAAAGGTGGAGGGTCAGACAAAGACAGTAAGACTTTCAACAAGACGGACTGACACAGTGACTGTAACTGGCTCGATTATATCAGAGATGATGAAAATGGCACAGGGTAGGGCAGGGTACTGATCCATTTTTAATAGGGTTGCTGTGAGTAATAGTTGATTCTATGACATCTAACAACATGGACCAGTTCTGAAGAATGTTTTTGCTCACTGTTAGGATTTCCAAAATCATCTAGCAAAAGCCCTATTTTCATAAATGCCAAGCTGGCTAGTCAACTAACTATACAGCTTCCTGAGCTCTCATCATTTCCTCCCATTTATTAACAACTCTGGCATCTGGTAAATGGTCTACCATTTCATTTATTGTTTGCTATCATACAGGAAATTAAAAATTCATGGATATGGCCAACCTGTCACCATTATCTCTTTAAACCTTCTACACTGTCCTGCTTCAACTATCATTACATACCATAATCTAGAGTTTGTCATCACATGTAACAATTTCTAAAGTAAGTATTTAAATTTGATTCCAGCTCTCCTATTTTTCCTTTGTATTTGTTCAGCTATTCCAACTTTTCTACTTGGGATCATTAGTCCATTAATTTTTCTGTTTTCTTATGCTAGGTCATCAGTTTTCATGTCTTCCTCCTTTTACTAAATGATAGGAAAATATTATGAGAGAAAAAATTTTCTTCAGTCCTATTTCCCAAATGGGTTTTAGTATATGAGACAACTGTTTTATGACAGAAAAAAAAATTGGCTTCTAGTCTATTTCTTCTGGTACTGTATCCTATAAGGAGTTGAACTGTTAACTCAAAGACCAAATTGGTTTGGATCTACTAGTGACTCAATGGGAGAAACTCATGTGCAATTTATAGCCTCTGAAACCTAATGGAAGATTCAGTTGAATGTCAGTTTCCACCCGATGGCAATGAAGTGTCTATTCCCTCAACTGAAGAAAGTGGCTGCAGGAGGAGTCAGCTTACTGCTAAGCACAATGGCATTCTACAGAGAATTAGAAAAAAAATTCTCTGTCATGTGTACTACCTTAAGTACTAGTGACATAACCCACAGTACTAGTAACATAGTCCACAAGAACTGGCTCTAATAACCTAAAAGTCATGCCTGTCTGCAGATTCAAACCCACCAATGGCTCTGTGAGAGAAAGATGGCTAACTTCCTTCCATCCCTGGGGATCCAATGAAGGTTGAGCTATGAGCTGGTTCTGACTCAATATCAGTGAATTTTGAGTTTACAAATGCTATGTATAAGGTGTTCTGGTGGCATAGTATGTAGTGTTATACTCCTTACTGAAAAAGTCAGAGGTTTCAATCTACCAGCTTCTCCAAGGAAGAAAAATGAGACATTTCTTCCTGTTAGGATTTACAGCCTCTGGATCAACAGAAACCTGATGGAAGGTTGCTGTAAGAAACAGGAAATTAATAAGATGTATTGTAACTACATTTATACACATATTTAGAAAATGAGAACAACAGCTTTCTCTGTGATTACCTTGATATATATATTTCTACAATGATCGTGGTGTAATTACAGAATAACAACATGGGTCAAGAATCAGGCCTTATTCCTTGTCTTCCCTCTTTTAAACCAACAAGAAAAAGTCGTGGGATATACCCTTCAAAACTTTAGTTACAAGCCAGAATAAACGACAATATTAGAGAGGCCAACTGTTTCTGTATGGTTAAGTGTGATAATTCTATCAAGTGTACATTTCCATACATCAACAGAAATAATTCCATATGATTTTTAAAAAGTTGTATCTTTTATCTATACAAAGAAATGCATTTATTCTTACCAGCAGTCCTTCCATTTAGACCCAGAATATTTTGCCCTCTTTTCCACCTGGGAACAGTGTCTTCTCCAGGAGTTTTAAGAGCCATGTTGTGATGGTTTTCTTCATAAACAGGGCATTTCTGATTGCAGTATAAAGCCCCATCTGGCAGAGCCACTGTTGGAGTGCCATTTAAATGACTTAGTTTTGCTAAGGTTTGGCACTCGGAAGTATAGTAAGAAGGAAGAGAGGGCATCACAGTGACCAAGTCAGAATGACCATCTAAGAGGAGAGGACTACTTTCCTGAGTTCCCTGATGCAAGTGATAGTCCACTGGAAGTGCACATTTTGAATGAAAACAGTTACGTGTAGTAATGTCTGGAGAATTTTCAGGCCTTACTGATTGATACTGAAACTCTTGTATGTTCTTCCCATTTCCAACATTTGATGTGGATTGAGGAGGAGGAGAAGAAGGATGAGGTACAATTACTTTCCCCTGAGCATGCAGAAAGGTTTTGGCTTTGCTTTCAGAACTTCGCTGAAAGACAGGGCTTTTCCTGTTCGTGTTTCGAAAGCCTGACTGGACTTTGGCAGACCTTGGTCTTCTAATTACAGATGAGCCCCTTCTCTGTGAATTGGCTTTCTGAGTTTTAGAATCATCATTACATGCCAGGGATTTACACTCCTCTTTTTTTGAGGCTAGCCAGGCTTGTTTAGTAAAGTTATAACCCGAAGGCACAGGGAAATAGTTCAAAGGCACAGGGTCTGCTTCAGATCCTCCTAAAGGAACATTTTCAGAGATGGAATCATTCTTGGGCTTTCCTCTATCAGCAGAATTTACAGCACAAGCAGGAACACTAATGTTGCTGGAAGCACCACTTTTAGTTTGGGTGTGAAATTCTTGACAGCATTGCTGAGATATTTCTGTTCTACTTTTAAATGAATGACTTTCCTCAGCGTTGTTTTCTTTGATACTAATTTCATCAAACCACCTCAGTTTTTTAATAGTCTTAGGAATCTCTGTACTTTTCCCTTTTTGTTTTGTTAATTCAACACTATCCCTGATAGCTGCTGCTTTTTGATTTCCAAACTTATAATCTTGGTTTATAATTAATGCCTTAAAGTAACGATGGTCATATTTAGATTCTTTCTTTAAAATACTTTTAAGAAGCCTCATATCATTTTGGTTATGACTGCTATATTTAATTTTCATGTGATGATCATCTATGTCATACTTGGAAATTGCATTAGATGTTTCAGGTATTTTCTGTACTTTGTCTTTTGAACTGGTGTTGTGAGGCAAACATACAGTTTGAAGAGCTGAAAATAAAGGCAATTCTTTCTTGTTATCTTTAAAATATGGCACCCTTTTACCTTTAACTTCTTTCAATTCACCTAATGTATCAGAACACTGCACTGGGTCAATTTCTTTTATGTGCACACTGTCCGTTGGTAAAGGTCTAGCTGACTGTGCATTAGGTGGCAAAACCGAGGGTCCTGCCACTGCTTCAACTGAAGCATGAACTGAAGTTGTTGTATTTTGCTGAGTTAATCCAGAATGTTTCTCTTGGTCTATAAATGTAGCAACTTCTCCAGTTACTGACTCTGATGTGGTCCAGGCTTTACTGAATTTAAATGTTGGGCTTCCTGTAACAAATGGTTTCTCCATTTTGAATGCTCTGGAAGAGGAGTCAGATGTCCTAATAGCACTAGTTTCAGAACTGTTTTCATTTTTAATATTTTGTCCAAATACATGAGGACTATTTACCAAGACTACAGAATTATTAGCAGCATTTGTAGTTCTTTCTATAATTCTATTCAATACAGGTGAATTCTGTTCTTTATTATTAAGAATTTCACAAGAAGATACTAGAATATCTGAGAATGGTGTGAGAGTCTGAGTATCTGGATTATCTAAATTTATAAGCCAGTTATTTATATGCTCAGTTTTAGAGAATGATAGTTTATCTTCATCAAAGCAGCTTAGATTAGCTGACTGGAGATTTGCTGACTTGAGCGAAATTGAATTTTGAGGGATTGATGGAGAAAAGTTCTTATTAAGCGTTAAATACATTTCTTCATGCTCCACAGCTTCAAGACTGTCTATACTTGAAAGAGTTTCTGAATTTGTTATCTGATTAACTTCATCACAAAATTTCTGGAAAAAAAAAGAGAAAAAACATTGTTTTATAGCCTGTTGTTATGTGCCATCAAGTCACCTGTGTTTTATAGCCTAGACATTTTTAAATGCCAAAACCAATAATTTAACATACCAGGTACTAAGCCCAGTTCTCCTTAGCAAATAAAATACAGTAGTATGAGTATATATGTATAGGTTTTTGGTCACTTAACACAACAGGAATGTCACTTAGAGCAATAGTCAGGGTGAAAAATGTGAAGTGAATGGAATTAATAGTATTTGCCTTAATTTTAACTCCTAACACAAGTACTCAATTATTCTTTCTAACTATAATTACAACATAGAAAATAATTTTATTGTTGCTAGTCTATTTACAGTATGGAGTTTGTTACCAGTCTCTTAATAATTTACTAGCAAGAAAAATCCTGGGATATTATTTCAAAGCTTTAGCTTTTGGTCACTGAAACTAAGGAGGACCTGAAGCATTTTGCTGCAGAAGGTCAAGGACTGCAGTATTCAATAGGTATTGCATCTCAACATGTAGAAACAAGGATTCTCACCACCAGGTGAACTGGTAGCATCATGACAGATGGAGAAAAGATTGAGCTTGTTAAAAATTTCATCCTGCTCAGATACACAATCAACATTCTTTGCCCCAGCAATCAGGAAATCAAAAGATGAGTTGTTTTGGTAAAGTTTGCTGTCAGGAACATTTCCAGAGTGCTAAAGAACAATGATATAAGTCTAGAGACTAAGGTATACCTGATCAAGCCTATGGTCTTCTTAACTGCTTATTATGTATAAGAGTTGACAAGATTAATGATGATAGAAGAAGAATTGATGCCTTTGAGCTGTGGTGATGGAGAAGAGAACTGAACTGACAATAGGTATGTCCTGTAGAAGGTAAAGCCAGTTTGCTTCTTGGAGGCAAGGATTTTTGAAACTCTGTCTCATATCTTTGGGAATGTTACCAGGATGAACCTGTCCTTGGAGAATGACATCATGCTTAGAAGAGTAGAAGGTCAATGCAAGAGGTGAAGACCTTGGATGATATGGACTGTCACAATGATTGTGGCAAAAAGGTCAAGTGTGTCAGAGACAGTGAGGTTACTGCAGGGTAGGGGAAGGTTCAGAGCTATTGCTCAGAGGGTCACTGTGAGTCATAGTTGACTTGATGGCATATAACAACAAAAACAATCAATCTTTTACTATTAAATATGATGTAAATATAGGCTTTTAGCAGCTGAATTTTGATTCTCAGTTGAGTGAGTATTTAAAAACGTGTGTACTGGAAAATGTTTTTTAAAACCATACATTTGGAAGCTGAACAACACCTTGCTCGAACATGACTGGGTAGTAGAAGAAATAAAAAATGAAATTAAAAAGTTTCTTGAAACTAATGACAATGAAAACACCACTTGCCAAAACCTCTGGGAAGCAGCCA